GCGAAAATATATTGATTCATGACTATTAAAGTTCACAATCTTTCTCCCAGTGGAACAAATTCAGGGCAGCTTGAATCTATATTCTTGGGCCATCCAAAATCACTCACATTTGGCTCAGGATAAACCATTTTCTTATTCCTCCCTCTCTCTTTTTCCTTGGTCTCTCTCTATTGCCAATTCTGGCCCTGAACTCTGGACTCAGGTGATTCTCCTGACCCAGAGCTGGGGTAGCTGGAACTATTGATGTCCTCTGTCTTCCAATTTCTAGTGACTATAGTTTATAGTCAACAGCCTGGCTGCCACACGTAACCCTCCAATGCCCTAAACTTCCCACTGCTGCTTTTCAAACACCATCCAGTCTGCTTTTTCATCCTCCAATAAGAATAACAGTTATCTCTTTATCGTCTGACAATTTTAAGGTTTATATCATTGTGTGTGTACCTGTGTCCCTGCATGCAGCTGCCTGTAGAGGTTAGAAGAGGGTGTAAGATCCCTGGTGGGTTATGGGCTGTAGATGAATTTCTGAATGGTTTTATTAAATAAAACACACAGAGCCAAACATAGGGGTGAAAGCCTTAGAGAAAGATCAGGGAAATAGGGAGAGCCACAGCTAACCTTACCTCACCAACTCGGCAGCTTCCAAATGCGAGTTACTTCCTGTCTACCCACGCCTTGATTGCTTTGCTGGTCTGCCCTCGCCTTGGCTCTCTTAGCCCAGCTTCCTCACTTTCTCTTTCTACACAGCTGTCACTTTCTGTCTGTCTGTACAGACCTCCAGCCCTCTAGGGTTGTTACTTGGATTAAAGGCTTGTGTCACCACTCTTGGCTCTGTTTCTTAGTGTGGCCTTGAACACACAGAGATCCTGCCAGCTAAGTGATAGGCGTGTGCTACCACTGTCTAACCTCTATATTTAATACAGTGGCTGTTCTGTTCTCTGACCCCAGATAAGTTTATTGGGGTGCACAATATATCAACCACAATGGGCAATTGTGAATAGTCTGATCTGGGAACTGAATTTTTAGTCCTCTACAAGACTAGCAAGTGCTCTTATGGCTGATCCACCTCTCCGTACCCTCCTCCAACCTTGCTGTGATTTTCAACACAAAGCCTCTGATGAACTATGTCAATGTTTTGTGACAGGGTCAGTCCTTAAAATGGTAGCTGTTAAAAATTAAGCCTAGAATCAACATGTAATTCAGTCATTCCATTGCTTGGGGGTGGTGGTGGTGAACTGTATGTCAAATAATCTACAGGTTTGAATAATGCACCGTTGGTGATTCTTGTCTGAGATGTAGATGAGAATCACTTAGAAAGGTTTTTTTCTAATAATATTCCAGACTTAAGGATCAGCATATCTTAGTGTGAGTCATATATGTAATCTAACAAATTCCACCAATGATAATCACAAACATACACACCATTGTTATTGTTTGCTGGAGCCCATTTAGGCTTTACCCAGCAGGTCTGCATAAAGAGGATGACTGGACCACGGTCCTGAGTGCAGGTGTCTGAGATGGTCTGCACTTGACTGTGCTGGGGGGATGTCTTTTGCTCAACCCCTTGGCATTCCTTTAAATACCCTAGGGCAGAGACAGTTGAGGCCGGATGGATTAGGATCCAGGCCCTCTCGAGGCTATCTTGTATTTTCTATCTTTTTCTCTTCCCTCTATCCTTCTATCTAATATTTCCTGCTGCTGCTACTCAAGAGTACTCTGGGGAAATGTGGGGGTGAGATGGCCCCCCACAGTTGTTTATTTTTTGAGGCAGGGTCTCTATATATAGCTCTTTGACTGTCTTGGAACTCTCTATGTAGGCCAGGTTGGCCTTGAACTCACAGAGTTCCACCTGTCTCCACCTCCCAAGAGCTAGGATTAAAGGCATGGGCCACTATACCCAGTTCACACCTTTTAGTATCGTAGTTTCATAGGATCACATTGGGTGATCATAATTGCTTGGATTCAACCATCTTCTATGTATGGGGGAAGGGAAATTCAACATGCTCATGAGTTAGAAGTAACAATATTTAAAAGTTGATTATACTTTTTGAACTTTTAAAATCTACATAGTAAGGGTTGAGAGATTAGAATGAAGATGAACAGCATGAAGCTCCTAACATTCTATCATGTTTGACTCATGAAAAGGACAATTAGAGAAAACTCAACCAAATATCAAATGCTCACATTCACATTAGAGTATGAATTCAACAATGTCATGATTCCCCCAACTCTTTTCTTTTTGATAACCACTGAGTGATTTCAAAGTAAATCCTGGACCTTGCCTCATTATATCTCTACTTATTTAGTATACCTCTTTGAAAAACAACTGGAATGTCATTACTGTTTGGCTGGAACCTCCAGCTCACCCCTGAATGATCCAGAAAGCCCCACTCCCCCCTCCAAACCCGACCAAGAGAGAGTCTCCAAATAAAGGAAAGGCACCAAAAAGCCTACTTCAGCATTCTTGGTGGCTACTGGAGCTTCCTCCCCTGAAATTTCCAGTCACTCAAGTCCCTGCCTAAAGCATTCCGCTTTTGACCATACTTGGGCACAAACCCAAGTGGGGGACATGTCATCATCCCTTGTCTACAACCTATATAATCTCACCACTTTAGTTCAGGTGTGTGGCTTCTCCAGCCTCAATCTCTGGGACTGAAGAACCTGCCCCAGAGTTGCTTTGCTCAAATAAACCCATTGTTACACTTTTTCAATTTAGCTTGATCTGGCTTACTGAGTTGGTGGAGAAACCTATTATCAGGGGTCGGAAAACCTATTAATTACCGTAATTAATAATAATCCTTTGTCATAAACATATGACTAGTGCACATTCATCTTTCTCTTTAATTTTTTTCATATTATCAAATAAAAATGACAGAAGGGCAGTCTCGTTCTGCACTAAGCTCTGTAACAGATCAGGCTGAACGACAAAACGAATTCCTTACACCATAGACTAAGCTGCTCAGCTGACCACACACACAAGCAACCAGGAATAGAGCTCAATAGCCAACTTTTCTAAGGAAACTGCACCCAATGGGCATGGCCATGAGTTGCCTTCTGTCTTAGTCCATCCACAAAGAGAAACTCAAGCAGCCTGATGTTTACCTTATGTACCACTTACTTTTCTGTCTTTCTGATCCCTGTCCCCACATCCCCCTGTCCCTCACTAGGAAAATAACTTTGAAATCATCTATCTACTGTTCAGCTTGTTTCTATCCTTTCCCATGTGTTAAGCCAGCTCCCCCTCCTAGGCCCCCTGGAACACTTACTCCCTGGAGTGATGTGTTGCCCAATTCTAGAATAAAAACAGCAATTAAGGTCTTCAAACTAGGACTTTGTGATTTTGTCCTTTAAAAATTTGGTAGTGGATTGGGTCAGATTCCTCACCGAGGTCTACATGTTGCTATTCAGAAGTCATGGGTTGTAGAGGGCATGAGGTCCATATGCTTACTTATAGCACTAGAGAAACCAGAGCTATTAAACACTCCAGCTTTTTTTCTTCAACGGAAGAAACTGACACCCGTTCACCTGGAAGGCTGGAGTAGATATTGTTTAATAAACTTGACTATTCTGTGGAGCCAGCCCTCACCCAAATCCTCCTTATCCTGAGCATTGTTTCTCAGTCAGTGGAACCCATTCTTGTGGAAGGTCATAGATACTTTGCAAAAGGTGTGTATTTTGCAAGAGAGTTGTGATGTAATCACACCTTGAGCTTTACTGAGGTAATTGTCATGCTGCAGACGTTTGAACCAGCCCTGCTAACTAAGTCAATGCTGATTGGCTCTCTTCTTGCCTCTCTTGGTTTATTTCTCTGCTGGCAGTACAGCTTGCAGGGACCCCCACGATGGGTCACCTCAGGGTAATACCTCTCAAGGCTGCCTCCCACCTACTTCCCATGCCACTGACTGACAGAAGAAACTGGCTCAGTTCTCCATCCTGTAGTATGACTCACATTCTGGGTTTATTTGCTTTTCCATGGCATTTCCCCTGCTTCCTAATGCTACCACCTTTTAATATTGTTGTGCTGATCCCCCAACCATAAAATTATTTTCGTTGCTACTTCATAACTGTAATTTTGCTACTGTTATAAATAGTAATGTCAACATCTGATATGTGACCCCTGTGAAAGCATCACTCAAGCCACAAAGAGGTCATAACCCACTGATTTAGATGAACTGGAGGCCATCGGCCTGCACTTTCGTACTTTTAGTCAGAGTGACAGGCTTTGCTAAGTGGTGGGGAATCTTATTTTAAAGTGTGTTGCATTTGCTTTTATTAACAATTCAAAGACGTGTTTGATTAAATAAAAATTAAACTGCAAGCAGGAGGCCGAGTCAGCAAGTAGCTGACAGGAAGTGGTAGGAAGAAACCACGTGTAGCAAGGGCTTTTTACGAGAGGGCTGAGAGAAGGATTTGTGATGGGAGGGTGGGGGTGTTTTTGGAAGATGCCAGAAAAGGGAAGTTAGCTACTAGCTATTCAGCCTCTCTGACCGAGCAAAGTTCCACCTAAACTGTTGAATCATGAGTTCTTTAGATTTAGATAAATTCTCTTAGTAGTTCTGCAAGAGTCAGTGCCTAAGGGAACAGAACTCCCTCAGGCTGCAGCCCTCGCTGCCAAAGCCCTTGCTTAAGTGGCAGGCACTGTAGATAATAAAAAACAGGTAACAACAGCTAAGCAAACAGAATTCCTACTTGAGCACAGACAGCAGAGCCTGGCGAGGTGAGGAATACACCTGTCATGATTCCGATTTCTCATTTGTAACACACAAAAACTTACATTCCAGTTGAACGTTTCTGTGAACGCAAAAAAAGAATGGCCAACACGAGGAGCCACAGGCAAGCAAGCAATTGCTCCAAGAACCAAAGTTCTCGTCAGTGATGAGACAGAATCCTTCATTCCACTAAAATGCTTACTAAAAGTCTCTTGAAAATGGTGTCTTTTTTTTTTTAACTAACATGAGAAAATACATAGAATAATTTGTCTGTCTGTGATAAGCAATACCTACGGCAGAAGTGGAGAATCCAAGGACGTTCGAAGAATAAATTGTTCTTAGAAGCTGTGCTCGGCTGCCAAGGGAGTAGAGTCTTCTCTGGGCCAAAAACATGCTGGAGAAGAGAAATATTGAAAGAGGAGTCATGTGTGTTATCTATATCACTACCAGTCACCCGGAGGCAGCTGACAGAACACAAGCTCATACAAATATGAACATAGTAAAAGTTTTAAAATTGCACTTATTAATTGTGAGGGGTGTGTGTGTGTGTGTGTGTGTGTGTGTGTGTGTGTGTGTGTGTGTGTACAGGCATGCATGCGTGTGAGTGTGGTGTGGGGCTCACAGGACAATTTGTGGGGACTCAGCTCTCTCTTTTAACCATGTGAGTTCTAGAGACCCAACTCAGGCTGTCAAGTTTGGCAGCAAGCATGCTTACCTGCTGAGCCATCTCACCAGCCTGGAACACATTTTTGACAACTAAACTAACTTCCTTCCCTCTCTCCCTCCCTTCCCTTTGGACTCTCATTCTACTCTACAGTATTAATTTCTGGAATCATCCTAATGCTATTCTTCTGCATCTTATAAAAATATATACCGTAAAGGAAATATGCAAGTGATTAGAATCAAGATGGATTCACTTGTGTCAACCAGAACAAAGCCAAGTATATACAGCAGGGAGGCTATAAAGCTACAGTTGTTACAAGTTTGTTTTGATAATGATTATCACAAAAGACTACCCAGAGGCTGGCAGAGAGGACACTGTAACTTTATACACAAGCAACTGTGTGTTCAACTTGGGACCAAGGCAATGCCTTGTAAATCACAAGATTTGTAGGTGGATTTTTCATTGGGACCATGTCCCCAATATTGACATGGAGACTTATTATTAATTATGAAAGCTTGGCCGATAGCTTAGGCTTATTTCTAACTAGCTCTTCTAACTTAAAATAACCCATTACTTTTAATCTACATTCTTTTACGTGGCTTGGTTACCTTTACTTTGTAATGCCCATGCCGCTTGCTCTGTGCCCTGGTGTCCCTGCCCTTCTCCTTCCCAGAGTCCCCTTTGCCTGAAAATCCTGCCTAGATATTGGCCATTCATCTTTTTATTAAACCAGTCACAGTGACATATCTTCACACAGTGTAAAGAATATTCTACGACAGGGATTAGTGTTTCAAAATATTTTATATAATCCTCCGTGTGTGTGTGTGTGTGTGTGTGTGTGTGTGTGTGTGTGTGTGTGTGTTTTAAACTTCTCCATGTGTGTTGAGCATAGTGTTGTATACTTGTGATTCCAGCACTCGTAAGAGTAGGTAGGAGGATCATATGTTTGTGGCTAGCCTGGACTACATAGCAAGACTGTTTCAAAATGCTGAGTGACTGGGATACAGCTGAGTGGTAGAGTGCTTGCCTAGCATTGGCAAGGTCCGGTGTTTAATCCCAGCATCTTAAAACAAAACAAAAACCCCAAAGCCACCTCCCCTGGAATGCCCTATTTGAATATGCCCATAGATTTCTACGGCACTGCATTTCCCCCATGGTGCTCTGCCATTTCCAAATAAATACTATACTCCTTTGAGAAATGTTCTCACCCATTGATGTTTTATTGAGATGCACAACATTTAAATCGTTTTACACTGGAGATCTGTAAAGATATTCTAAATAAAATATAAAGCTTTTAGGCCAGGAATGGTGGCACACACCTTTAATGCCAGCTTTCCTATTCATTTATTTATTTTTGAGGAATAGTCTCCTGTAACCCAGGCTGTCCTCAAACTCTGTAGCTGAGGATGACCTTGAACTCCTGATCCTCTGGCCTTCACCTCCCAAACGGGATTACAGGCCTATACTATGACCTCCGGATGACTTTTACTTTTTAAATAAATGTGTTTTTAAATAATTGCTCCAATGTAATTAACACTGTATACTGATATTCACCAACAGACTAAATAAATTGATACATTCAGATGTCATGACGTTGGAAAAAAAAAACGTAGCTGGCTTTGGTTTTTCTCTAAGCACAAGGGTCTGTGAAGAAAACTAGAAAAATGTGAATCAGAGTGACCCACCCTATCTAATCACAGCACACGGTATATAAAGCCTGATACATATGATCAACAGAAAAGTCAAACTGTCATTTTATCATCTCTAGAGTGAACTGATTCAGAAGGAAGACTGTGAGCAACCTAGAGATTCAAGGTTGGTGAATCGTTGAAGGCAAAATGCAAACCTCAAAGGTAGGCAAAGCATTCAAAACTCAGCTTAAAAACGCTTGAAGTTTAGTGCTCTGAACTTACCACTCAAGCTATCAAGTTACAAACCTACCCCAAGTGAGGTACACACACCCAAAGAACAGTTAGAGTTTAGTGAATTTGACAACTTCCAGAATCTTCAGGTGATCGGCAAGCTCAAGAAAGGTTATCCAAGATACCCCTAAAAGGGCTAGAGCTAACGAGCAAGTACCCGTTCGTTTTCACATGCCATACCTGTGAGTCCACTTCCGGAAGGTTTATAAAGTTCACTAATTGCAACAGAGGTAGGTGAACAAGGTTCTGGCTTGGAAAGTACAAAGAGGTGTTCAAGGCGATATGAAAACAGGAAGCACGGAAAAATTTAGTCAAAGTTTATCAGCATGAGTTAAGAGGCACCATTCAAAAACGGCTTGAATGTAGAGACGGGAGGATAAGTGTTAAAATCGCCCTCTGCTACATAATTACTGGGAGAACAAGAGACTGCCTCAACAAACAAAAATCTATCACGGATGAACTCGAGTCAGTGCTACCCTTTCAAGAACGCTTTCTAAATACCCCAAATTACACAATTAAGAGTAAAAGAACAGAGGACTGGGGTCCAGTGATCTCGGAGCCCTTCTTTCTCCAAAGAAGAACGTGTTAACCCCAAGGTTGACCCCCGCAGTCTCCGCTGCGATCCGACCGAGAGCCTTGTTAAGGGAGCTTCTCCAGCCCTCCGATCCCCCTAAGGCTCCCAGCTCAGCAAACTCCGCACGCTCCGGGCCGCGTCACCGCGCACCAAGTCCCGCGCCCGCTTACCTCGCTCTCCCGGTTCGAATGCGACTCTAGCCTCAGTCCGGAGATCGCGAGGTGGCGCGGGGGGCGGGTCCCGTGGGAAATCCACTTTGGGTGCAGCATGGGACCCTCCTGGAGGGCGGAGGGGGCGGGGTGGAGGCGGCGTCTGGCTCTGGCCGGGGATTGGCCCCGGCATCAGGGCTAAGGGTACGGATTGGCTGCGGGGTTCTCCAATCCCGGAGCGCACTGTGAGAGCGTGAACCAAGCAGCCAGTCTGGGAGGACGGGGCGTGGCCTCAGTTTTTTATCCCGCCTAAAATGGGTGTGTGCTACTGGTTGGGGAGGGACTGATTTGGTAAGGTGGGTAAATTTCGGCTCCGGGTGCATTTGGAGCGGGTTCTGGTGAGGGACTGGAAGATGCTCGGCCTGTGCTGTGTACAAAAGGGCTTGCAGGAGTCTGTTTGTCCCATCTAATGGGGCAAGAGGAGGGAGAAGGAACCCTTTCTTCGGAACTGTAGTGATGCAAGACCTAATGGGCGGAGGAGGCGAGACCGAAGCAGGAAGACACCTAGTAACTAAGGAGGAAACCCGAACTTGGGGGGGGGGGGGGGGAAGAAGAGCGCCGAGGCACTGCCAGGGGTTGGGGGTAATCGAAAAGTATCTGTTAAGAGCTCAGTTTGGGGTTTGGATGTTCTTCCTCTTGCTTTTAAAGAAGTCTAGGTGGTGGTGGTGGTGGTGGTGGTGGTGGTGGTGGTGGGGTGCATAAGAGCGGCTGAGCGTTGTGATCATGCATGGAGGAAATAGCAAAAGCAGGCTTTGATTGGATGCTCCGTCCTTGGCACAGTGAGTCTCTTCCGTGTTTTGGTATGATCATTAAATGAGCTCATTGTAAGCAAGGGCGCTGGGAAGACTCTGAACTGATGGATCCATGAATGGGAAGAAGATTTTTATTATAGGTATAAGAGAGACTAGCCAGAGACCTTTGGGAAAGGCCAGAGCAGTCATGGCTACCTCTCTGGGCAGAGAGGAGAGGGCAGACTGGCAAAGACTATGTCTCTCGGTAGCAGAGGGAAGAGCAGGAACAGAGAAAAACGTAGTGGGTTATAAAGACAAAGAAGTAGCTGCAGGGATCCTGTGAATTGGAACAACCTGGAAGTTTAGGGTAGAGGCGGGAGGGGGCTTGAGGACCCTGTGGCTTTGGTATGCACCATATATCTCAATAGGCGCGTGGTTCTTTCTTCCTGACAGACAGAAAGTTTCAGAGGTCCCCGAGGAATTCTGCGAGTGAGCCTTTGTCTCTCTGCCAGCAATCCTACAGTCCAGTTTGAGCTGAGCCAAGACTTTTGGACCATGTCAGTGAGTCTGCCCATTTTTGGGGGGTTCTTGGAGTTTTTCCCTTTGAGCCTAAAACTCACAACGATCTCGGAATGGCTTTATCTGCAGTTGGTGTTCTGTTGACATTGCTGTGGATGGACTGGGAACCCTCAGGGTTTGTTCTGAAGGTTTTTAAGGTTGAATGGCTGTTCGGTTGCTTTCCTTTTCTCTCTCTGTTTTTCTCATGCAACCATTACAATAAGCTGCTGGCTTGTTATTTCGAAACACACGGTGTGTGGCATGAACACTGTGTTCAGGGATTCTGGTGTGATTAGACTGGTCACGTGATGAAATGCTGCCTTTCTTCTTTGATTTGCAGTTTTCTTGCCAGTTTGAATGTGATTTTTGCAGCCCTCTTGGAGACAACACAGAATCCACAAGTTGACGTTTTCTGTTGTTTTGTTTTGTTTTATTGAGACAGGGTCTCACCCCACAACCCAGACTGGTTTCATTGTTTAGCCCAGCTTGCTCCCAAACCCTCAGGAACCCTCCTGCTTCAGCCTCCTGAGCACCAGGGTATACAGGCATGCAGCACAATGCTCAGCTTGCAAGTTGTTAAGTCATCACTTCCCATCTACACAACAACAGTGATATTGGCCCTAGTTTAAATGTTTCCAAAGCCTTAGCAGAAATTGTGCATGTACCCACAGAAAGGTTGCTAAGGGCAACTGAATCTTTCTCTGTGCATGTAAATTTTCTCTGGATCCAATGCATAGCAGTATGGTAGGGAAAGTGATTGAAAATGTGGGGTGTATATGTAAACTATAATGATCAAAACTGTCCTTGGGGAAAGCCCAGCATAGCCTTCTAGACATGGATTCATGGCACAGCTTCTAGCTAAGCATCAAGAAATGTGAACACAGTCAAATATCTGCTGGGTGTGAACCTGGTGGGAACTGGTCTTTGCTAAGATGTCTGGTTTCCTTCTCTCTGTGACTTTACCCCTTGGGACTCCTGTACCACATCCATAAAGGTGCATGTAAACTTTCAAGGAGTGCTCTGTAACAGGTTGTAGGTTCTCAGGCCTAGAACTGTCCATGAAGGCTTCCAACTTGCCTCCTCTGTCTGTCATGCTGAACACAGTCATTCTGACATTGCTGTTGCTTCAGAGTCACTGCTTCAGGCCACCTGCACACTTGGGCCTCGAGGTAGTTGACTTCAGATGACGCAGATTCTCTGCGTTCTTAAATACTGGATGATGATGAATGCTTTGTGTAAAGTAAAGCAGGAACAAGAACCTAAACCTACGTCAACCTCCTGAAATCCTCTTGTGATGTGTACTAATCCAGTGGTAAACATTGAGGGGGAAGCATCAGAAATGGAGCCAGGATGATAAAATACCATGTGATGTCATGTTTAAAGCTTTACATGTAGCATTTACTATATCCCAGGAACCCTTTTAGACTCTGACGGTGCTGTGGTGAATAATAACAACAACAAAATCAAAAAGACCCAGCCAACTGGATCTAGGAGAAAAATATGCACAATTAATGTTAACGCTCGCAGGTAGTAATGAAAGTGACAGCCATTAGAGGGCGCACTTTGCTGTTGAATTTCACTTATCTGGCACGTTGAATCAGGTAATGCTGTTGAGTGCAAGACACGTCACTAAAGATATTTTTGGATGGCTTTGGTAGGTTTTCACACTCCCTACCTCTTCCTTCCTATTTCGGATTCTTTTCTTTTTGCTTCTTTTTCTCTACTGCTTGTCCAGCCAGGGGATATACTTAAGATATATTAAGGAGATGTGACAACATATTGTATGATCAAGCAGACAGTTCATTCCTAAATCAGAAAGAGCCTCTCCACTCTAGGGCATTATTTTTCTGTGAATATTTGTTTAATGTCTTTATTCACAGTTAGACTGTTAGCTACTTCCCAGTTCTTTTTAATTAATTGATTACTAATTAATTTTATGTGTAAGTGTTTTACTTGCATGTATGTATGTACATCATGTACATGCCTGGTGCCCATCAAGGTCTGAAGAAGGCACCAGATTCCCTGGAACTGGAGTTAGGGATGGTTGTAAACCACCACATAGATGCTGGGAATCCAACTTAGGTCTCCTGGAAGAGCATCTAGTGCTCTTGATTACTGAGCCATCTGTCTAGCCCCTACTTCCCAGTTCTTAGCAGAATGCCTTGTTGGGGTTCAACCAAGAGTTCTCAATAAATAACAAGTCTAGCTTAGGCAGTTGTGGCTGTCCATGCGATCTCCCCTAACTTCCCAGAGACACTGTTTCTGATCTATGCTGGGAAGATCTCTGTTATAAAATGTGGGAGAGTGTCTTTTAAGCTTCTTTTAAGCTTTCCCCTCTCCTCTGCTTTCCTGTACTGTGGGAGGGGCCCTGGAATGTGGATTTGAATGGCAGACAAGTGTTTGACGTTGTGAATTTTGGGCCATATTTCTTTCCATTTTGTTAGGATGAAAGACTGATACACATTGCTAGATGTATTTTAGTGTCCACTGGGACCTAGCCAATGTGGGGTACACACCTTTGTTACTGTTGTACTACCATGCCCAACAAGGATGAAGTATAGAAAGCGGGTCTGAACCACCTTCACAGAGACTGGGTGCTCAGTAAGAGTTGTTTTAGTACATTCTGAGAGTCGAGGATCATGAGTTACTCGGCCGAGCTCTATTCTTAGAGTGGCTTTTTAACACAGAAACCCCATGTGTTTGTAGATTTGCAGCGAAATTTCACTTTTTCTCTAGTTACTGTTTTGTAAATTTTGCTTTCTGGTTGTTCATTGCTTGTCTATAGAAATGGTTGAAGTTTGTTTTTTGTTTGTTGATTGAGCTGGTTAGGGGTGTGTGTGTGTGTGTGTGTAAAATGTGTGATATGTGTGTTTCTAGTGAGCATATGCATGTGTGGATGTAGAGGTCACCAGGTGTCTGTTTCTTGATTGCTAGCCACATTATTTTTTAAGACAGAATTTTCCCACTGAATCTGGGTTCATGTATCTGGCTGGACTGGCTGGCCATCAAGCCCCACGTGCCTGCCTGTCTCTGCTCCACCTTCCCCAGTGTTGGGTTGCAGATGTCTGCTGCCTTGCCCAGCTTGTATGTGGGTGTTGGGTACCCAAACTCAGGTCCTCATGCTTGCATGGCAGGTGCTTTACTAACATAACCACCTCCCCGGTCCTGTGACTGTCAATATTGTCAACTTGACAGGATCTAGAATCATGGAGAGACAACATCTGGATATGGGACTTTCTGGATTAAGTTGGTTGATGTGGTTAGACCCTCCCTAAGTGTGAGTGGCTCCATCCATAGGCTGGGGTACCAAACTGCAGAAGGAGAGAGCTAGCTGATCACCAGCATTGTCCGCTGTGCTTCTTGACTGCAGATGCAATGCAATGTAACCAGCCATACTTCATGCTTTCCCTGTCAGTCAGTGTAGACTGAACCCATAACTGAATACAGAATGCCTACTCCTCTTTTCCTCCCTAGTCCCCCTTCTCTTTTTCTGACACAGTATTACTATGTAGCCTTGGTTGGCCTGGAACTTGCTGTGTAGACCAAGCTGGCCTTGATAGGAGGTCTGGGTGCCTTTGCCTTACAAGTCCTGGGATTAAAGGCTCTACCACCATTCCCACCTAAACCTTTCTTTTCTTAAATTGCTTTTGTTAAGTATTTTGTCACAGCAACAAGAACAGTAAATAACACATTGACCTTGTATCTTTTGGCCTTATAAAACTCACTCTTCAGTAGTAAGAATAGTTTTGTAGATTCCAGGGGATTTTCAGTCATACAAAGACAGCTTTATTTTATCTTGTCTGATCTGCATGCTTTTAGGGTTTTTTCTTGTGATACTGTTTGTCTTTTTTTTTTTGATACTGTTTGTCTTAGTTAGGGTTTTATTGCTGTGAAGATATACAATGACCACAGAAACTTTTTTTTTTTTAAGATTTTTATTATGAAGACAATGTTCTGCCTACATGCCGGAAGAGGGCAGCAGATCTCATTACAGATGGTTGTGAGCCACTATGTGGTTGCTGGGAATTGAACTCAGGACCTCTGGAAGAGCAGCCAGTACTCTTGATCTCTGAGCTGTCTCTCCAACCCCACAGAAACTCTTTTTGTTGTTGTTTTGTTTTTTGTTTTTTTGAGACAGGGTTTCTCTGTGTAGCTTTGCGCCTTTCCTGGAACTCACTCTGTAGACCAGGCTGGCCTCGAACTCACAGAGATCCGCCTGGCTCTGACTTCCGAGTGCTGGGATTAAAGGCGTGAGCCACCACTGCCCAACAGAAACTCTTATAAAGGAAAACATTTAATTGGGGCTGAATTACAGTTCTGAGGTTCAGTCCATTGTCATTTCTGAAACCTAGCAGTACACAGGCAGATGTGGTGGGGAAAGAAGGAGCCCAGAGGTCTATATCTGGATTGGCAAGCAGCAGGAAGAGAGAGAGAGCCACTGGGCCTGACTTGAGTTTCTGAAACCTCAAGCCTACCCACACACTTCCTCCAACAAGACCACACCTACTCTAACAAAGTCACAGGTCCTAATCCTTTCAAATAATGTCACTCCCTGTGAGCCTATAGGGGCCATTTTCATTCAAATCACCACACTGTAGGAAGTGATCCAGTGTCTTGCTGAAAAGAGTGGTGAGAACGGAAGGTCTGGATTTTCCAAGGTCAGAGGGCAAACATTTAGTTTCTCATTAAGTATGATGCTGGTGCGGAATTTTTGTAGCTACAGTTTATTGTCTTAAAGAAGTTGACATCTGGCCAGATATGGTGGTGCATACCTACAATGTCATCAACTGGGAGGCAGAGGCTAGAGGACTGGTGCAAATCTGAGGATAGCTTGAGCTATCTAACAAGACCCTAGCTCAAAATAAAAAACAAAACAACAAACAGCAACCACCCCAAACCCCAAACTAAATGAAACAAAAGAGGAGACTTGCACTGCTCTGGGATTGTTTTGCTGTTCATGGGTGCCATGTCAGGATTTTTATGTAGTTATTTCGAAGAACCCA